CAGAGACGATGCGCTCGGTTCCGTTCACTTGCCACTAACTCATCTGTAATCCAGGGGCAAAGACGTCGAGATTTGCGGCGCCGTTCCCGAAGTGGAGCATGTTTGTCTAGAGTGGTTTGGATTCCCGCAGTGAGTGACGACGCAAGCACATCCACACAGACAGAGTCACAGGTAGTTAGCGTCTTCTCCAGGTCACATGTAAACATATTCCAATCCACTTTGTGCAAACAGCGAGTCTTGCGCAGATACTGTCCCTTCAAGTGGTGACTTGCTGAAATTGGCAGCCTGGCAAGTATTGCAGGTTTTTCCGCTCACAACGGCCTGGATACGTCTATCCGCCAGGTAGCTGTGGAGCCACTGTGTCAATGGGAAAGCCAGCAGTGTCCTCCAGGACCTATTCTCACCATCAGCTGGCAGCACCACCCGGCACCAGGTTTCCAGGGGCCTCACTGTCCCCTCGGCACAGTCAGAAGCCGGCAGATCTCGCCTGGCCTTTCAGGCAGCCTTGGCCGGGAAGGCTCTCCCAAGGAGTGTAAGGGAGATCAAGGCTGCCCAGAAATTTAAGCTTGCCTCCATCCCCTACACCTTGCAATGAATGCTCTGTCTGACTTTTCCCGTCCACACACCACGTCATTTACTCTTCTCTGCGTGCTTTTTTATTTATTTTTTACTATTAAGTATTATTCACACTTCATACCCGACCTCTTCAAACCCCAATTACAGCTCATGAAATGTATTCGTGCATCAAGAAACTCAACAACAACAGAGCCTGTGGACCCGATGGGGTTAATGCAGAATGTTTGAAGTACGGAGGTGAGACGCTGGCCCAAGCGCTGGCTCAATGCCTGAATTGCATGTTTGAGACGCATCATCCAATTGAACTCGGACAAGGCACATTAATACCCCTGCCGAAGCCTAACAAAAAGAAGGGACCTCCCGGAAATCTTAGGCCCATTGTGCTGCTGAATTCAACCAGAAAGGCCCTTTCTCTCCTTACACTGCGACGTATCCAGCCAGCAGTGGACAGCTATCTGAGTGCATCCCATAGTGGCTTCCGTCCTGGCAGATCCACGGCTGATGCAGTCTGGACGCATCGCTGGCTAGCCGCTATCACCCAGAAGTACCATGCCACCATCGAGATACACGGAATAGATATGAGCAAGGCATTCGACACAATATCGAGAGAGATGCTGCTCACGGTGGTCAATGGCATCGTGAAGGAGGATGAAGTCCGACTTATCCGAGTGCTTCTTTCCAATACAAGCCTATCTGTGCTCGCGTGTAAGCAGCAGTCATCGGAGTTTGAGACCACGATCGGCACCCCACAGGGCGACTGCCTATCTCCAGTTCTTTTTGTCATTTACTTGGAATCAGCCCTACGTGATCTCAGGGCCACGTTACCTCCCAGGCCGCCAGCTGATGATCTCTTGCCTGGGGAAGTTATCTATGCAGATGATACGGATTTTCTGAGCAGCTCACGGACATGGTTGGACAGTATCAGCCCGAGCATAACTGAGGTCCTCAGAGAATGGAATCTCAAAGTGAACGAAGAGAAAACTGAGCAAACAACACTACGCAGAGAAGGGGATCGTCTAGCGGAAATCTGGAGAAAGACACTTAAGCTTGGGTCACTTCTGGGTGATGAACAAGACGTGATCAGAAGGAAGCAGCTCGCAACAGCAGCTTTCAGGTCACTCTTTGTTGTATGGTGTCGACGAGAGCTTATTAGTGCGAAGCTGCGCCTGAGGCTCTATCAGGCGTTTGTCATACCAGTACTGACCTACAACGGCGGAACATGGGGCTTGACGGTGGCTTTGGAGCAGAGTCTCGATTCCTTCCACCGTCAGCAACTGCGATCACTCCTTGGCATTAGTTGGCCTCAGAAGATGACGAATGTCTCTTTGTACGCCAGGTGCAAAGCTGAGCCAATCACCAACATTCTCAAGCGTCTGCGGTGGCAACTCTTTGGTCACATTCTCCGCTTGCCAGAGGACACCCCAGCATCATTGGCAATGGCGGCATATTTCACGCACGATGAGAAGACCTGGCGAGGACGCCCACGTGTCACAGTTGTCACGAAGCTGTCGGGAGACCTGGCGGGAATGAATAATGGAAGGCTTGTGTCGCTTGGTGACTTGCAGCGCCTACGGATCCTGGCAAGGGACCGTGCAGGGTGGAGAGGCCTCTGTGCCGTCGTATGTTCCTCTTGACTGGATTACACAGAACGGATATATATGATGTCATTTGATTTATGTTTTTGGCAGAGTCCCACTATGCAGGCAGGCATAGTGGGATGGTCTAAGACCATGATTGAGAAACAGAGGGTACCAGGTTCAAGTCCTGCTTGGAAGCGGAAGGATTTTTTCCAGCCGTGCTGCGACCCACAGTTAATTGGGAACTCGTGGCCTGGCACGAGGGAAACATGGATGCAGTGAATGGGATTTCGGTCTTTGACCACTTTGTGGTGGGTCTGATCTACTCACCTCCCACCGCTTAGGAGCTGCATCTGCGCCTTGATCCAAGAGGGTGGTGGCGTTCCTGCGGATGCGGAAAACTGGGCCTTTGGCCGAGTCTCACGCGAACCGTGAAATTTTTTTTTTTTTGGCAGAGTATTCTATTTCCGGCATATGCGAATATGTGGGTTGCCATTGTGCGGCTGACATTGCCGCGGAAATGCATATAATAATAATTATTATTCACAAGCCCAACTCGTAAAATAAATAATTATGTGGACAAAAACAACAGCTACTGAGCGGGGGCTGCACTGGGCAGCAGTGATGGTGAGGTACCAGGGGCTCCACCGACCAAAGGTCTCGGCTTCAATGCCACAAGCACGCACCAGGAAAAAGAAACAGAAATGTAAAGCAAAGCCAAATCTAGCTATGGGGAAGTAGAATGGGTAAAAGTACCGGTAGGTGTTTAGAAAAATAAAAACAAGATGAAAAGATATTGTAAATTATCAGTGTTTGGACTGATGTACAATGTACATGTCAACTTCATCAACCAAAACTTATGAACTTTTTCAATAGATCTGATACGAAACTCGCACAAAGAAGTGTATAGAAAAAAACAAGCTAAAAAACAGAAAAATAATAGGGCACCCATTTTGATAATCCAGGGGATGGCCCACGCCTGGTAAAAGAATAAACAGAGAAAAGAAAAGAATCATAACAAGTTTTTTTCCATGTATGCAAAACACAGCTGAGCACTCTGAGCAAGGCCAGGTACGCGGATTAGCGGGTCCAGCAAGCGACGAGCTCGAAATATTACAAGGAATCTGTTGCCCAGTACCAGTTGCTGTCTCTCAGGTGTCGCTAGACCTTTGTCTTGAATGACTGAAAACGTGTTTTGTGTGGGCGCTGCGACAGCAGCCTGTCAGGAAGGGAGTTCCATGCGCCAATACAGCAGTACGGGAACGACCGCTTCACGACGGATGGAGCTGAGACAGGGAGCGTGTCTGACAGTTGATAGGCGTGGCTAGTGGCATTATTGTGTTGGTTCCTGGTTCTGGGGTTGGCTGGAGAAACGCGATGCGGTGGCAATACAGCAAGTAGCTGAGGAGGACCAGTAATGAAATGCAATTTGTACAGGCACGAGAGAGCAGCAACAGTCCGGCGGACAGCCAGACTGGGGAGGATTGCACCAGGGCTAATGATGCGCAGTGCGCGGTGTTGAACATTATCCAGACGTTGGATGTGGCTGGCTGGCGCGCCCATCCACACAAGCGGGGCATACTCCATCAGGGGCCTCACGAATGCCTTGTAGACAGTCGTTCGGCCAGCTGGCGTTAGAATGTGGGCCGCTCGTCGGAGAAAGCCGAGGCGCTGCTGGGCGCGGATGGTCACGGTCCTGAGGTGACTAGCGAAGGACAATTTTGAGTCAAATCGAACACCAAGCAGTGATATGCTGGTTTCCTCTGGTACAGGGGTACCACCAAACAGGATTTGGGGCAGCTTGTGCGCCTATGAACTCTTTGTGTTCCCTCTGTTGACGCTTCAAAATCGCTCTATTGACACTGCAAAATCGCTCTATTGACACTGCAAAATCGCTCTGTTGACGCTGCAAAATTGCTTATCATCTCCCTCCCTCCCTCCCTCTCTCTCTCTCTCTCTCTCTCTCTCCCCCCCCCCCCCCGTAGATCTCTCCCTTTTGAAATTCGCTTCCATAGAATTGGGTACCATTGCCCGTTTGGCCTTGCGAAGTAAAATAAAAATCAACAACAACACTTTGCTCACGCAGGTTATCGCCTGGGTATCGTTTCATTTTCTCAATGATTGGAGACAGCTCTGTGTCAGACAGACACCACACTGCGATAGAAAGGGACTCTGGAACTCATCTCCCAGAGATCACATTTACTTTCGTTTAGCGCATACCATACGACTCGCACTTGTAAACGAACTGGTCGAGTAATGTACTGCACTTTGCCTGAGCATCTCACTATCATAATCTTCTGCTCATATCCACCCACTCAAAGACCGCATAACCTTCTCACCAATCTGTTGCCTACCATCCTTACCCGCTGGAAGTGGGCAACGGACAGGCCATGAACTGAAGAAAAAGACGAAAACAGCTCAAACTCTGTTCCATCCTCAATTCACGTGTTTGACTCTCTGATATTGTGCATACGTGTCCCCCTAATCCCAGTTGGCTCCCCCCCCCGCCCCTCCCCCTCTCCCCTGCGTATTTCCTGTGATATTTTGTTTCTGTGGAGCGGTTCGGTCGCAATTAAACCGAGACCCTTTGGTCGGTCAAGCTGCCCCTGCCTCTCCCCCACTCCTGCAATTCCATATGTCTCATCGCTGCCTTGCTGCTTTGTACAGTCAAATGGTGTGCGTGTGTTTTTGTTTATTAATTCTCTTTTAAAAACACCTCCACCCATCGGCCGCCCACTGCCTGCCCAGCGCCTCTGTCCGCACTTTTTTCACAATGTGACGCTACCAGACTTCCTAATGCTCACACTAGCATATCCCAGACAATCACCAGAAATGTAGCTGACGGAGTTAAGCTGAAATTGTAGTTTGAATATTCAAACCAAGTGTAACCTCAATGAGGAAAAACGGCGATTAGGATAAATGAATTACACAAACGTAGTAATTATAATTTCCAACTTGCACTACAATCCATATCAAGTTCACAACAACAACAAAACGAAGAAAATGCAAAACAAAAGAGAAAGAGTAGTCGCTTGAGGAAGCCTCCACGCTCTTGCTCAAGAAAACAAATGAACAAATCTATGCACGAAACGATCAGGGAATTCCAATACGTGCCCCACACAGTGCAAAAATGCCATCATAACCACTTGCACACCTGCCAAATTCAAATTCCACTAAATTTACGATAAGGCGAATGGTCATCCCATCCGACTTGTAAAAAGGTGCAGTTGTAGTGTGGGGACACGCAAACTTGTAAAGTGTCAATTGGCTGCAGGCACACAATCAAATAGCAACACCATGAAATTAGCGTCCCAGGAAACAGCAACCAACCCATTTGAACACCCACGTCTTCAGCTACAAGCCTGGCTGGCAGGGTGAGCAGTATAAAACAAGTAATTATCACTCCCCCCTCACGTGACCGCGGACTCCTGCATATACACTCACACAATAACCACACAACTGTTTGGGGATAGCGCGCTTATTGTATTATGCCAAACTTGACACGCTGAGTCCAGCTTGACTCAGCTGAGTCCCTAAATGCAATTTACTGCTCTAACATGAAGCCGTGCCTGGAAGAAGGGAAAGAGCGAAAAAAGAAAGAAAAAAATTCTGGCCTTCTGCAAGCAATAGCAAGTAATGAGTGACGGCTGTGTAAAGTCGCACAACCATGCAGTCGACCGGATGATGGTGAGTGTCCGGCACACATCTTGCTCTGCTGCTCCACCTGCGCATACCTGATACGGTGGTGCGCTTACGGGCGGGCTGCCTGGGCCCCAGATGCCTCCTTGATGTGCCACGGAGTGCCGTCGAAGCACCTGTATCACTTCGGTGATCCAAATGCGAATGCAGCCTTGCCGGTCGCCCGCCGGCCTGCCGCCTACGCGACCAGCCTGAGACTGGCCCTGCCGCATTTGGCGCTTCTAAACGCTGCGATCCGGTAGACAGCTCACTGGGCTGCCAAATACGTGACTGGCTTGAGGACAGTTCCATACTGGGCAGGGCGCCCAGCTCAGGTCGCACGCCGTAGCGGCGTGAGCTGGGTGCGGTGAGGGTTGGTGATAACTACAGTTTCCTCCTTCCTCCTCCGGAAACTTCCATTTTTAGGTGTACTACAATGTCTGTGTCAGGTCTCTGTTGGATTTCAGGTGTACCTAAGGTTGCGTTTGGTTGGGCATTTTCAGAATGTAAATGACAACCATTCTGGAATGGGAATGGGTAAGAATCACCTCGCCAAACAAACGCACCAGAATCAACTAGGAATAACTTGACAGAACAATTCCATGATGAGGTAGTGGAACGGCGGCTCGCTTCTCTTTCACCCGACTCTAGTTTCCTTGAGAGAGTCAAGGTACTTCTTACTGCATGATTTAACATCTGCAGCTTGCGCTACACTATCACAGGATCAACTTGACTTTTTCTGTTCTGTTTCTGTTGGCTTTTTCCGTTTCCCACATGCGCACGCACACTAGCACATTCATGCCCGTACTTACATACATCCATCTCCATACACATCTCTATTCCAGTCGTGCACATTCGCGCCCAAACATGCCCATGTCTGCCCTGTTTACGAATCTGGTGATAAGACCTCAGCCACCAGCCACAGGCCAATCTCACTGTTGCCTATCGCTGCCAAGATCCTAGAGAAGGTTGTCCACAAGCAAGTCACTTCGTATTTCACCCAGAATCCGGACCTGTCAGCCATACCAGCTGAACAATTTGCGTACCGCTCATACCATAGCTGTGAGGATGCCCTGACACTTTGCATAGACAGGTGGAACAGAGCACTTGACAACGGTGACCAATGCGGAGTAGTCTTTGCGGATATGAGCAAGGCGTTTGACTGTGTGCAGCACGCAGGTCTGCTGGATGAGCTAGCCACCACTGGCTTAGGCGGCACTGTCCTCAAGTGGTTCTCAGACTATCTCACACACCGCAGCCAGCAGGTTACTGTCAATGGTGAGAAGAGTCGGACATCAAACCCTGTACAAGAGGGGTCCCCCAGGGGTCTGTTCTTGGGCCTTTGCTTTTCTGTATCTACATTCGCTGGGTACCCGATATATTTCACTACAGTGTCGTGCAGCTGTTAGCTGATGATATTACGTTATACGTATTCGGCTCTGATGTGGCTACAATTATGCTACACTTGCAGGATAGTATGCGGCTGCTAGAGCAATACCTCGATGAGAAAGGCCTTCTGCTCAACCCCACTAAGACACAGTTCATGTTGATACTGAGCCCAGCCCTGTACCTGACCTGTAAAGGTATTGTCATTTCCCCTGTCTCTACTGTGAAATACCTCGGAATACTAATCGATGAGCATCTAACGTTCCGCCCACAAGTGGAAAAGGTGTGTTCAGCAGTCTTCGCTAAACTAGCCTGTTTTGCTCATGGCCGACGCAATTTATCAGCTACAGCTCGGAGAACTTTCTACTTGTCAATTATACAGTCTACTCTAGAATATGCAAGTAATGCGTATGTGCACTGTTTGAAAACTACCCTATATAACAGGTTTGTAACGGTCATCTGTATTCGTTTGAGCAAAGAGTTAATTTGAAACTATACGTTTTGGTCTATCGCTGCTTGTCATCAATTGCTAGCCCCCTCCTTCAGTCACTGTTTCTCCTGCGTTCAGTTGGCCCGCACACAAATGCTCGTACTCGTGGCCAGGATACAGCTACCTTAATAGTATTACCTACTGTACATATTGGGTATGGACTGCACTCAGTTTGTTTTCGGGCGGCAGGTCGGTGGAACACACTTCCTCCAAACTGTCGTCAGCACAATCTGCTGGTACTTTTGCTCACCTCACAAAGATTCACCTACGGTTCCCTGTAACAAGGCCATGCCTGTTGAGACTCCCCTAGTCAAATATTAAATACTACTACTACCACTACTACTACTACTTTTCTAAGCACTCGCAGACTCCATTGCAGCCACTCACACATTACAGGGTACCTCACTTCAAACTCTCCAACTATGGTCTCTTCGCTGCATAAGTTCACTTCACTTCCAAAAAAATAAATAATATTAGATATAAATGGAATGCACCAAATTTTCGGGCATGGCCCATTTTCAGAGAGAAAAAGAGAGGAAGCTGTGTGGCAACTCTGAGTTTCACGTCAGGTAACTGATGGCTCCAAGACGTGAAACTTGGAGTTGCACAGCTTCCACTCTTTCCCCTGTGTTAAACAAATTCGACGGGTTCATGTACTTCTTACATTCTTTTCTTGGAACATATTGATTCGCATGATACTCTCTCGAATGATTTCTTTGATCTCCGAATATTCTATGAATACCCTTAGGCATCCCATCTTCAAATCAAGTGGTCTCTTCGCTGTAAGCTACAATACCTCAATCAAATTTTAGGCCAGTGGCCATCATGAGGATGGAGAAGAAAAACAAGTGAGGTGGACCTATATCAGGCAACACAAAATGGAACGAAACTGCACATTACTTGATAAAATGGCACCATCCTTTCGGCACAGGCACACAAGGTCCGAATATACTGACTTTTATTTCATTAGAATCTGAAACATTGGCGGGGTTAAACTAGCAAGCCGTGAAAGGGCAACGGGAACGAGCTCAGCGGAACGCACGTACAAAGCGTGATTCATGGTTAGCCACCTACTAGTACGCAAGCAGAGTCACTGATCAAAGAGTGATCAACACCGTCAGCGTCAGGTGTTACTCAAGCACACACACACACACACACACACACACACACACACACACACTAGTGAACTTAGAGATTATTTGGGTATTTACAACTGCAAATGTCAAGGTAGGTGGCTACCCTTGGGGACATTGCCTATATGGCTATTGAGCAGTCTTAGGACAGTGGAACTCGCTACTTGGTGACGTGTACTTACTAGTATCAACATTTGAACTCAGTTGGCAGTTATATCCTGTGTAGTTTTCTTCGCACAAGCATAAATACCCTGCGTTGGTTTGAATGATGGCTGGAATGCAACTTCCGCCGTGTAGACATGGATTTGATGAACAGACATCTGGCGTTTGTGGCGTGTCCACTAAAAACAAGGAGAAGACAAAAGGCCACGGTTCCAGAATGTTAGCTCAGGTAACTATAGAACAAGTACTAAATCATCCTGTAGCTATCCTACATGGGTTACTGTTCAGTAAAACCTGTAACTAAAGACCACCGTGACTAGCGACCAGCCTGGTACTACAGTAAAACCTGTAACTAAAGACCACCGTGACTAACGACCAGCCTGGTACTACAGTAAAACCTGTAACTAAAGACCACCGTGACTAGCGACCAGCCTGGTACTACAGTAAAACCTGTAACTAAAGTCCACCGTGACTAGCGACCAGCCTGGTACTACAGTAAAACCTGTAACTAAAGAGCACCGTGACTAACGACCAGCCTTGTACTACAGACCACTTCGCCAGGCACGGACGGTCTCAAACTCCTATACGGTTGTGCGCTGCAAACCTCTAACCTTCTAAATTGAATAATCCTCTTATACGGGCAATCACAGAACATGATGTGACTGGCCTCACACAACAACTAAAGCAAAAGCAAAACGAAATTACATTTTTCAAAGAAAAAGAAAACGAAACGTTACAATCTGCACACAATCTGCAAACCTCTAACTAAGGACCACCTGTCACTAAAGACCGCTTTCTCTGGCCCCAAGGGGAGGTCGTCAGTCACAGGTTTTACTGTAGTTGTAAAGGAAGGTTGAACTATGCAGCATAGTCTTACCGGTCTGTGCAGCAGACTGACTTGTCTTCTTAGTGGCTGGCACCTGAACACTGTCCGCTGGACCTGCAACTGGCTGCACAGTGCGCAGGCTAATGGGGGAAGCAGGTGACTTTCCCACTGCGCCCTGCGATGCCATCATAGCTGCACCAGTGCCGCTTGGGAGCGGATTCTCGGGGGACTCTTCCTTTGGCATAGCAGTTGTTGTTGGCATGGGTTCTTGAGTCGCTCCAGTTTCCAATGTTTGCGTTTGGAATCTCATCAGACGCGTTGTATGTGCATCGCTGGGTGTACCTGAAGACACATGTACATGTATTCAAAAACCATTCACTAATGGCTGAGCCTACTAGAAGTATAAACCTCTTCCAGTTAGGACCACACTCAAATACAAGGCAGGAATGATGCGACGCGACGTGGGGGGGGGGGGGGGGCGGGGGAATGTGGCTTTGGTTCTTGGTGCATGCGATGGGCACATGCAGCCGACGTGTCTCCAACATTCTAAGATTTCCTATTACTATTATACAAGCTATATGAAACGGATGGAAAATAACCCCAGTATTTACCAGTAAGCACTATCATGTCTTTTGTTTGGCGGTGGATGTTAACACAGTTTGTTCAGATTTTTCCACACCAATCTTTATGCTGTCGTATAGCCGGATGACTTCAGTGTTCTAATTTGATCCTTGAACATCCTTGCAAGGATGAATTGTGAAGATCAAATCCATCCTGTGCGGGGGTTCAATCATCTTTCGTCATCCTCTTAACTTAACGTAGCTAACATTCTTAGTTCGCTGTGATCATCAGATGTTTAGCTTGTCTTCATCTTGAGTGCATTGATCTAGGCCGCCGCCGCTATGTACTTTGCTCCAGCCATGGATCACACACAGTGAAACCTGTCTTAGTTCTGACTGCTAACGGTCTGCTTTAGCTTTACCCAGGAGCATGGCAGGAGCATGATCGACAGTGAGGAATGCCATCAGCCAGCCAGGGCCGAGCGCAGAAATACTGGAGACACTTGACAGTTGCATATCATACATTCTGTGATAAAAATCATGCCTGTCGCAAAATAAGCGACATAGTAACCTGCATGACTTGAGGCTTGAACCATGGACATAAATGTATATGTCAGCACTGCGATGGTCCTACATCTCAATGCTCAATTGATGGTATATGAGCTCCTCTTTTGACTGCTGACTGCAAGATTTTAACTAGGAGCTTGTATGATTGCCAGTTACAGATGCTGGTTAGCAAACCAGCAAGAAGAGATTGGACACCATTGATGTGAACGTGTGGCAGCTAGCCTTCACAGATCATGCACTCTATCACCTGCTTTTTGCGACCAAGGCCAAATGCTAGCTCCATTTTCATCATCTACGCGTGTACGATATGAAAAGTTGAGCTGATCCAACTCTTCCCATCGCTTCCCGATCCATACGGTAGCACGGTTGCATTCCCGTGCATTGGACGCCGTCAGACCGTTCCAATACTTCCCATCGATCCTTACGTCGTGTCCTATCGCGCCCGTCGAATTTGAACTAGGCTTAAAGCTCACCCATCTTGCACACTCCATAAAATACCACTACACCGCACAACACATACCCATGCTTAATACCACCGCTCAAGGTACGCCCAGATATCTGCACACAAAAAATTCACGGTTCGCGTGAGACTTGTTTTCTCTATATAGAGGCCGAGTTTTCCGCATCCGTAGGAACGCTATCACCCTTCAAGGATCAAGGCACAGATGCAGCTCCTAAAGCTGTGGGAGGTGAGTAGATCAGCTCACCATGATTAACTCTAGAATGTTGCCTTTGCAGACACCCACACAGAAAAATTCAAAAACCTCCACACTCAGGGTTTCATGCAGTGTTGCAATGATGTGGGACTTCCAATCTCTATACTCAAGTTCTTCAAATTCTTTCAAAGATTCTCACCTTCTCTCCCCATACAGATGTAACCATCCGCCCGTGGGGTAGCCGTGGGTGTATACGGGAATCGTATAAAGCCGGGTCTTGAAGGGCCTGGTTTGGACTCCTGTGGGCCAGCATAGGGTGTAGACGAGGATGGATTTCCGCCCTTATAAAGAATTCTTGAAGGGCCTGGTTTGGAATTGATCGCATAACTCCTGACAACTTTCCTCGTGAAGAGATTGTACCGTAAGAACGAACCATTTCCCATTAACCAGACCTCCTCATGTCGCTTCCCAATCACATTCTCAATAGCATTCTGGACACACAATAGTAGAATTAGAATTTAAATTCTACGCTACACAATCACCAGGAGACTATGCTCGACAGAGTGCAGAATGAACTAAATTCCTAGATTGAATTGTTTTTTATACTATTTCAAATGGTGAACGGTACTATTCGGCCAATAAAATGTAAAGAACTCTTCCTCTCCTCTCCTCCATGCGCTCTCACAGCCGACTCACTGCTACCCTCAGTAGCCATTACACACACCAACCAAGGAAGGGTTGCAGGTAGATACTGAAATTCCTCCTGACAGCTGTTTCGCCTTCATAAGGCTCATAAGAGAAGGTGATATTGAATAGGATGATTATTATTAGGTGGAGATGGTCAGATTTATACTACAAAACATGGGCGCAAGATTACGGGCAAAGTGTGAGAATGAGAAGTTACAATTCTCCAGCAACACAGTGCCAGGGGTTCCAAGAAAATGGCAGGTGAGTAATCCAATCACAAGCTGCTAACCTCTCCAGCAACACAGTGCCAGGGGTTCCAAGAAAATGGCAGGTGCACGCTTATTAGTATTCTGCTTTCTTTCACTCGTCTTTGTTTGGTGGCTCGCCAAAATTCTTAAACTATCACCTAGCCGTTAGAAAATCAATGTGAGCAGCTTGTGATTGGATTTCTCACCTGCCATTTTCTTGGAACCCCTGGCACTGTGTTGCTGGAGAATTGTAACTTCTCACACTTTGCCCGTAATCTTGCGCCCATGTTTTGTAGTATAAATCTTACCATCTCCACCTAATATCATCCTATTCAATATCACCTTCTCTGATGAGCCTTATGAAGGCGAAACAGCTGTCAGGAGGAATTTCAGTGTCTACCTGCAACCCTTCCTTGGTTTATGTGGGTAATGGCTACTGAGGGTAGCAGTGAGTCGGCTGTGAGAGCGCATGGAGGAGAGGAGAGGAAGAGTTCTTTATGTTTTTTATATTATTATCTTTATTCTCATGGTGGCCGTAGCCAATAAGAGAGAGACAGTATTATGTGTTATCAATCAGAGTGGGTGCAATAAACCGGGAGAAACAGTGGCTAGTGGCAGCCGTGGTTTGGGTGCTTCATTTAAGTAAAGGCGAGGAAGGAAGTATATCCATTGCGAAAGCAGGTAGGCGATAGACCTTGATTAAAATACTATACCTAGGCTGGGCTACAGCGGGGGTTGGAGCATGTGCAAATTGATGATACTATGATCGGGGTAACTTCTCTTTTGAATGCATTTTATTTCTCGGAGGGAGTAACAGTGTGGTGGCAGGTGGTTGTACTGAGTGCATGCGGGGTACAAGGGTGAACGTTGAAGGCGGGTGGAGTGGGTGGTGGGGAGGGCAAAGACTTGTAGTATCACTTGCCACTTTAGTGGGTACCGTAATGTCGCGTATAAAAGCAGGTGCTTACGGCCGTAGAAGCCGATGTCAGTGCTAGGCTTATATTCAAGTCAGGCTTCTAAAACAGAGAGGTTCCAGGCTGTCCAAGAGAGTGCTCAATACCGAGTGGTAGAGCTGGTGGAAACAATAGGAGGACAGAGTTTCACGCACTAAGCGATCATCAGAAAACAGTAATGAGAAATCTGGATCAGTATCGGTTTATATTCTCACAAATCAAAGTGTAAATAGCTGCAGCATGGCGCAAATTTAAAAGTTGCGAATGGCGGCAGTGCAAAGCGTGAATGACTGCATCATGAGGCAAATCCAAAAGTAAAAGTGTGAATGACAGCAGTGGTGAAAGGTGACAACCACTGGAGCCGGTTATTTCTTACTTAATTAGGTGATGGCTGTGGATGGTTTGAAGTTCCGAAGGTAGTACCTATTCTCGTGGCGACACTTTGACACAAGCTCACTCCTCTTGTTCAGAGAGAGGTGCTTGTGCTTGCGCGATTGCCAATTTTTCCGCCAAGCACAGGTTGCACCTTTTGCTTTTGTTTCTGTAGGCTGCTGCTCTGAGGTGTACAGGCTTCTATTCAAAGCACGTATCTCTATGTATGTCAATACTAAAACCAGGCTTATGTGCTGACAGTGTATAATGAAAATCAGGTTTGTAATCTAAACAGGCTTCTATACAAGACAGGCTTTTATACAAGACACTAAAAGGTCAGTGCTATGATCTAGTGGAAAGCACAATGTAACTCAGATTGGCGTTATAATTAGATTAACATTCTACTCCCCATGCTAGAGTATAGAGAAGACACACACGCGCGCAGGACGCAACACACCAAAAGACACGAGAGTGAGTTTGGAAGAATGGGAATGTCGGGTGTCGGGCAGAGTAGCTGGCCTCAATTGAGTGCGCGTTAACGAATCGTGTGGTCCGCCTACCGAGGGCAGGAGCTGTATATGACCAAGATGATCAGCCTGCGCTGAGCAGGAGCGGTTTGTGACCCATGCGAGTTGGTGGGTCGGCCTGCGTTGAGCAGGAGCGGTTTATGACCCACGCGAGTTTAATAGTAGTGCGTGAGAGGCCAGTTACGGAGGAGTGCCCGCATCCGTGTGTTTCAAAATATGTGGAGTGGAGTGTAAGAGTAAAGAAATGGGATGAGGAGGCTGGGTCAGAATTTGAAAGCTGACTGCAGGCAAGGAAACTGGAAAGACAGCAGGCTCTGTTGTGCGCACAGGAAATCTGCGCATGCGCACGTGGGCATGTGGTCTATGATACACAGCAGTGTGTAGAGAGAGCAAGATTGTGCACACACGTAAGGAGGGTTATGCAACCCGTTATAAAGGCCAACGGCAAAGCAATGGTACGTGACTGTTAACAACAGTTAACTCCTACGTTAACAGTTTCCTCTGAGACAAAAATGCGATAATACTCATAAAAAGGACACACTTCAGGCTCATTACAAACATCCTACGTTAACCGAACATTTATCAGGTTGCGTGGGCGTGGGAGGTAATGTGTAGTTTTGAACCTGGTATATACCTCGGTGGGATGCTGAACTTTCTCTCTTTATTCTGCATTCATGAAAAGCTCTGAAAAGATTAACTAAGTAGTAGTATGCTGTCATGCTGTCATGCTGTCATGCTGTCATGCTGTCATGCTGTCATGTCCACACAACACAAAGAAACGCGCAACGCAGTATGTAAGACTCCAGAATGTTTTCTTGTTGCGGTGCGACTTGGTCCCGCAACTAACCATCGTCAGGAAGACCACAAAAAAACCAGAAACTCCTTTAATCGACATTACCACTCGTTTCAACAAGAACACCAAAGAACACACCGAACAACGATCGCCAAATCGCTGACCTGAGCAAAACGTGCAGCGTGCGTGCATTTGGCTTGCGCTGCATGCATGCACACAACGACGTGGCATAGAGAGAAAATGCAGCGTACAGAAAATGCATGAATCATCGTAGCCATAGAGATACTAAATATGGCGACTGCCAAAGTCCGCATGCAGCGCGGAGTGCAGGTTCATGCAACGAAAAGAAAAGCAATAATTTGAATGCAGAACAAGTAGAAACTAGTTACTTGCTATGTGCTGAAATGAAAGAATAAAGAATTGATTACAGAGGTGAAAACAGTGTCTGTCAAGGGGTGCTTGCACCCAGCGACAGGGTGACAGCACACCCTGTCAGCGAGAGTAATTTCGCCAAGTAGATCGTAGTGGAGTTGCCGCGGATGGCGATAATGCAATGGATCAAGTACTAGTAAGTACATGTACATATTGCAACCAATTAGTGTGTCAACAATTCTACATATAATATAATACATTAGAACAATTCACAAGATATTCCGCTCGTGAACATGTCGTGGTACGAACACGCATAGCAATTACTGTGTCATAAAATGTGTCTCGATGTAGACATAACAGATATGCACTCGTGATTGAATTCTAACAGACTAACAAATAAATATTACACTCGCGAAATGCATAGCAGTAATACGCACCGCACCAATATTGCAAGCGACCTAGCAGGTCTTGACAATACTGCCCTTGCAGCATGTGACAGTTCTGTACACAATTCGTAACTACAATACACTAATAGCATCAACGTGCAACATGTGACAATTCGAAAGGATAATGTTCAAGAGTGCAGTCGCCTGTCCATTCTTGTGACCTTCTTCAGTGGAATAACGTTACTGATCAGTAAAATGAAAAAAAATATTACAGTAAACAGTTTCCTCTGAGACAAAAATGCGATAATACTCATAAAAAGGACACACTTCAGGCTCATTACAAACATCTTGAAAGTTTTTGTCTTCACAAGTATACTTTCAAACCTTCTCATCAGGTGAAATACAGGCAAGATGTTTCAAGATGTTTGTAATGAGCCTGAAGTGTGTCCTTTTTATGAGTATAAATATTACAGTAGGAATATTATTACAAGAAGACATGAAGACCAAGGAACTACAAGTGACGCTATAATATCCACTAATAACGCGCAACCAAGACAATCACGAGCTGAAAGTCTCAGCTGTGAAGGACGTTGGCGGATGTACATAGTACATGTAAGTCGAAGACAATACTGGCAAGACCATCAGACAAAACGGTCAAACCACAATTCAAGGACGTATAGCAGCATACCAGCTGAAAGGCTGTTGGAGTGCGCATCCAAGAGCTGATTGCCAGTCGACCAGTTGTCTGGGAAAATAGACCTTCGGGGATTCACGCGTTTTGCGAGAAAATCAAGATAAGAAAAGAAGAAAAAGTCTTTTCTTGTTGTAGGGAGGAGGTAACTCGCAGTCGCTGGCGCTTGTCGCACTGTCGGGCTAGAAGTGAGTCGAGTAATTATTGGGTTTGAACAAGATGACACCAGCGCACTGCAGTGTGGAGTAATGATCGTCTTACGGACGACAAAGGTGTCACAGCAACAGTGAAAGCGGGTGGGGGGCAGTTTGCAGTGCAAGTGCGACGAGAAAACTATCTCTTCAACATCTCAGCGGAGGTCAGCGCGCAACATGGCGGCGAACGGCGACAAATCATCCCAATCCATCACTCTGGAACCGAGGTGAGTTTCTCTGACTCATTCATATGCATGTTGCCAGTTGCTGAGCTACACAATCCAGCTCGGCAACAGTTTATCTCCGCGATCCTGGTGCCTGTGGTGGTGCGAATGGTTGGGTATTTCAGAGTTATCATGACATTGTGCGCTTGCTGTGTGTGGCATAGTGCAGAACAAATTGCTTGTTAACTCTGAAGAGGCGCACAACCGTTCTGCTACTGCTTGGAAGTGTTCTTGTCACTTCCGCATGTGCCGTAGCTGCCTTTACAGTGTGAACACATTGCCAGTATTCCTACTTCCCCATTCCATTTTCTGGTGCCAACTTTTTACTTTCTGCTGACACAAGTGGTTCGAAAGCCTAACTAATTTCATAACATCATCATGAAAACAGCAACGGAGAAATACAACCAATAGAATGCAGAACACAAACTCAAAACTCTTGAGATGTTCTCAAACGAACTCAAATCTATTCGAAGAAAGGAGAAGCGAATTCCAGAGAAAAAGGCGAAAAGGCGGGTAAGAAGAGCGGGAATATGGGTGATGAAGCCGGTCAATGGAAGAATAGGTGCTAAAGACTTATTGTCGCAAAAGGCAATGCATGGCTTTAGTCGCATGCAAGCCCCTTGAAAGCAATTATGCCCAAACCACTCCAGCTGGCAGATGAAACCCCCAACACCCGTCTCTCCGCCCAGCGACGCCAGTCATACCACTTTCCCTTGGCGTTTAGCCTGCCTTGCTGTTCCCGCTCAACCATGGCCAAAGCTTTCCCTGCTCGCGTACTGAGCGCATGGAACTCCCTGCCTTGGAGAATCCTCGCACAGCAGCCGTGCAAGGAAGGGATGCTGCAGTTCAAGAAGATGGTCCATCATCACCTGTTGACCAGCAACTGGATGCAAGCAACCGACGCCTTGTAAACTGCTACATTAACTTTCTGAACTACATGCTCTCATGTCCTCTCTCTTTCTCAATCTACCCCCCCCCCCCTCCTCCCTCCCCTCCCGCTCCCCCTGTTCTGTCTCTTTCCCTCATACTTCCATTAAGTTTTATCTCGTGCGTCCAGAGTGTGACGATGTCGAGACCAGCTGGTCGACGGAGCGCCTGGCCCCCACCACCGTGGCTGCTGCATGTTCCCATTGCGTGCACCACACGGCTTTCAGTAAAAAAAAACTAAACAACTAAAAAAAACACCGATGATATTTTTGAAAGTTGCCGTGGTTTTTTTAATTTTTTTTATGAAAGTGCACATGCCTACATAGAATGGAAGAGAACAACAACAACAACAACAACAACAACAACAACAACAACAACAACAACAACAACAACAACAACAACAACAACAACAACAACAACAACAACAACAACAACAACAACAACAACAACAACAACAACAACAACAACAACAACAACAACAACAACAACAACAACAACAACAACATCAACATCAAGAGAACATAGGGGACTACAAAGGGTGTGTAGGTGCTGTTGAGCTGTGCCGGTGAGGTGAAGTGCGCTCCCCCGACCAACGGTCTCAGGATCAAGGCGCACATCACGCACCATGGGGAAAGGGGGAGAAGAAAGATTGCCAGCTATTCTGGATTATATGAAGAATGTGATGTCCCAAACGGATATCCCAACCTTTACGATTACTGGTGCTGTATTCTCGCTCGTTATCAAAAGACCAATAAGATTGAGGGAAACAGGAGTTCTTATTGCCTTTGTTCCCTCTTTGGCGCAACAAAAATAATCACAAAATAATAAATCACAAATTCGGAAAGGAAGAGGACATATGGATACGAGTTAAGAGTAACCCTCCATCACTGTAACTGGGTACTATATACAGTCAGAAAGTGCAATAACTAGACATTCATTTATTTATTTATGGCTCAACATCCGAGTTTCAAATTAATCACAAATTACAAAACATTTCCCTACAAAAATGCTGTCAATAGTTAGAAAGCCAGGCCAAACAAACAAATCAAAACAACTCATGATACAATGATACAGGTACACTTACGCGATAGCAATGAGCATTACTTTCAAGTTCTTCCAATGTCAAAAGAGACTGGCCAGGGCCACAACGTGAAAGAGCGTCGTGTGCTCTTACAGTCTCTATGTTGAGTGTGATGTTGCGGCCTTTGCATGAGAAAGATTCCTTGGCTGTGTGGCATAAGAAATGACATGTCATAAAATTATTGAGCTTCCGAGCAGACAACAATGCTACAACCCGAATGCGGTAACGTTTCTAACATTACCATCTTCACCTGGAACCGCCACTCGACAATACAAACAACTTGAGGGTGTTTCCGACTTCAAAGTAAAAGCAACAAATGGAGATGGCGAAGGAGGAGAATAACTAAAGAATAGAACAGAACAAGGAACAAAAATGTTGCTTGTACCTCTCCACAATGCCCTTTTCATTAGCCCTTTCCCAAAGATGCCATAATTTTTCGCAACTTACACTTTTCGCAACCATGCCAGAACAAGCGACCCTGTTCATGTTCTCGGAGCACTCTCTTCTCATCAAACTCCCAATCCATAATATACTATGTCCTTACCTCTCTCTAACTCTCCTCGATTCTCATTCTAATCTTTCGTCAAAACTGCACGGCAATCAGCCTCTACTTTCGCCTCAGCATCATGATCTTGATACTGCTATCTTTGTACTTGTTTGCGTGCTTTTTTGCACTCATATCTTGGAATAACTCGTAAACTACTAGTAACAAGTTTCCTGGTTTCCTCTCCTCCCTCCTCTCTTTCCTACCCTTAGATTTCTTGCTCTCCTACTCCCTGCCCTTCCACTCCCCGTTTTGTTTCCTTTGGTGCACATGTGCAGCTGTGATGCCGAGACGCTTGGTCGGCGGAGCGTCACAGGTCCCACCCACTCCGTCCTGCTGGATATGTACCATTGTATTGAGTTCTCCTCCTCATTTTAGTTCATGATGCAGTGAGTGTGCAATAGTAAAAAAAGTGCTAGTTGCTGAAGTCGCATCCTTATTTTTTTAGGAAAGCTCAAAAGTTGCTAATATCGCAAATTAAAATTGGAGAGTTCTTGTGCAAAACCACCTAAAAAGGAGCAGAAATAGCAGAAGTGCAGCGACAGCAAACTCGTACACTCCTTCCTGCTGAGAACCACCACTTTACACCATGCCAGTAGCCTGTTGCATGTAGCCTACATCATTCCAGTGCTCGGAAAAGGGAATGCATATTATCGTAACTACCGTTGGTCTACTATTTCTCTGAAATGAGTCTGAAGGCAGGCCAGAGAAATGAGCGAGAATGCATTCTTCCGACATGTTGTTGTTGTTGTTTATTTTACTTCGTAGATTCTAACGGGCAGGTTGGCCCATAACAAGAAAGCGAAGGACAAGAAAATAATAATAAATGAAATAAAGGGCAAAAGAAAATGAAAATAGCTTTAAAAAGAAAGAAAAAAATCGGTGACTTGACCTTCTGACCCCATGCCATGGGGCCAAGGTTGCAGAAAAGGTGCGAAATAGTTCGCGAAAATGAAGAAAGTTGCGAAAGTTGCGATTTCTTCCTAAATAACGAAAAGTGGCGAAATAACTGGTTTGTTACCACTAGACCAACACGCAATGCCTTATCACTGCCCCGAGCTAGTTCCTCTCTGTTTTTGAAATCCCCTTTCTTCTCAGCATACTCCCTTTGGTCTAACCTGCCTACTAGCATTAAGACATGCCAGGATATCAGGAAATTCACAGTCCAGCTTTCCACACTGTCTCATCCGAAGTGATCCCATGTATTATTAATGTGCCTCCCTTTCTTTTTCTCTCCCTATCTCCTTTCCCTCTCTGACAGCATCTTTCTTTTTTTCCCTTTTAGCTTGCCGTGGTTGGCTATCACCTGACCTCTCATGTTTATTGGCAGTCTTCGGACGGGCCAGGAGATTTTGAATAAATAAATAAATAAATAAATAAATAAATAAATAAGTGGTGAGCATATTTGCGAAATGGCTATCTGCAATACATGATGGTCGTGGATGCGCGTATTTCTTTGTTCTTTCTCTTGACTGCAGACTGCCTCAAAACTGTTCCTTTTTCTCTCCTTCCATGCAAATGCTATGCATGCCCTACATGCAGGTCCTGTTCTGTTTATTATTTTTTCTTCCCAGAAATGTAATGGCTGTATCCATATGTACCAGTATTTCTTGTCGTCCCCCTCCCCCCCCCTCCATTCTTCCCTGGGTAGGCAGATGTAGTGTATTGTTTTTGTAGAAGTATTGTCTCTCTCCGTATTGTCTTTCTCATCTTCCTTACAATGTGCATGCTCTGTATACAAGTCAGTCCTTGTCCCGCAATGGACTTCCCAACTCAGCAAGACCGGTTCGTCCAACGTTACCGCTCTTTTCTACGGGCATACACTTTGCTATCACCCGTTATGAGCCCTCTGGTTTCATTCCACGCAGAGTAGCGATGTCATAGAGCACTGTGTTATATTACTACCACCCCGCATCATTCTATCTCCTATTTTTATTTCTCTCCTACGCTTCTTCTTCATAAGCTGTTGGTGGAGACTCCCTTGATTTAGGCTAAGGTCTGTGGAGAATCCATAAATACAAAGTACAAATGCAATAATCTTACTTGTTTCCCGTTATCATGCAAACAAATTCCTCTTGTGGCTTAGCTGGAGCCGAGGTCTGGACTGTTGAAGGGTACTATAGTGCACTTGGCGATTGCAGCGATCCACTCCCATCGAGTTTCTTCTTCGCTTTTTCTTCAGTTACTGCAATGGTTTCTTTTGCATATTTCCATGTCAATGAAAGGCATGGTTGCCTTTTTTAGTGCCTTTGTCCCCAATTGATATGGGTCTTGAGGAAAAAAGGATAGGATCTTTTTACAACTTTCTATTACTGTTCTCTCTTGATTATTATTGGAGCACTGGTGTACTGGAGAGCTGGCTGGACGGGAAAGAGATTGTAGTGGCAGTTTAGTAACAAACGAAACCAGAAACCATGACATCACCTGTACTCACCAGTACAGGTGTAATCCCTGACCGTTCCATTGCATTTATAACCTGCAGGGCAATCAAGTTGTTGGTCTGTAAGGATGGTACAAGATTCCTCGCAAAAGGTCCCATTTATTTCTGGAAGTATGCATACAAAAAAAACAGAACAACGATGGTGGGCGATAAAATACACAAGCACGTGTACCCAGAAAGTGGGGGCTTGCGTGAGAAATACGGATGCCAGTGCTCAAGACCTGCACTTGCAGTAGATAGTGTAGACATCTATTCAGTCACTCACAAGACAGCCATTGTGCTAAACAGATCTTGTTTAGTTCTCTATCAGAAGTGCGCCATGTCATCTCTCTCGTGCTATACATAAAGCGGTACAAGCACGTGCATGCCTGCACGTGCGTACATAGTACTACATACAACTGCATGTACGATATCTACATTACCCCCCTTCCCTCAAAAAGAAAAAAAAGAAGAAAGAGAAAAAGGAAAACAAAAACAAAACAAAAACACTTGCATCCGTATCCTGCAGCTTGCAGAGGAATGTACGTACATGTGTTGGAGTAAAAGAGAGACGGGAAGTGTTGCAACTATTAGAAATAATCTGACTCAAAACTTGAGGCAAAAACACCATGAGTTTGAGTTACAATGCAAACTCGACCAATAAGGGGAAAAAATAAAGAAAAATCTAAATATTCACAAGGTAGTTAGAAGATTCTAAACAACGCCAATCTGGTAGCGATTGAAGCCACTCATTTGGTAATGCATGACTCGACGACTCAGATGTCAGCTTCACGTGCTTTCTCTGTAAGCTTGATCTGACGGCCAGCTCTGGTCTGTACGCCCTCGCGGAATACACTTGGACGAGATGTTGGCGGTGACAGTGACATACAGGCCGGTGTTGCAGGTGATGCTGTCGTCTCCGGTGAAGCTGCAGGAGACAACGGCAATGTGAGCGCAGTTACCGGAGCTTCGGGCCTGGATGTTGCGCTGCTCGCTGACGGAAGGCTTGTTGGGTCGGACACTGGCAGTGCTGGAGCACACACTGGCTCTGGCACATGCTCCCTCTCTGACTGTGCCGGAGGTTCACTCATGGGTGCTTTCTCCGCTGCTCCTGCTGGTGCTACAAACTCGGTAACATGCTGACGATTCCGGAGCAGTATGCGTGACCCATCAGTGACCCCAACCTGACGACCATACTGCTCTACTACCTTCCATTCTTTTCGAGGGTCGCTGTACCCATCATGGAGCACTACCCGCGTACCTGATGGCAAATGGGGTAACTTGCGGACACCTCGGCGCGAGTCATGACCTTCAACCATTGCTGCTTTCGCCTTGATCTGCTCAGATGGGTTGACGATCTGTGGGGTGATGGATGCTGGAACCCGTGTCCGAATGACTCTGCTGAACAACGCTTCGCTCGGCGATGTACCTAGCATCCGGTGCCGCGAATTGCAAATGTCGAACAAGACTTGAGTGACGCGGCGGTGTAGCGGTAGATGAGGTCTCAGGCTGGCAACTCGTTCTTTCACCAGACGATGTAGTCGCTCCACCATACCGTTAGAGCGGGCAAACCGGGGGCTAGACTTGCAATGCTCAACACCCAACTGAGCGAGAAACTTGGACATCTCAGTGGATGCAAACTGTGGGCCCCAATCCGAGACGAGTGTTGAAGGCAGACCAAACCTTGCGAACAACTCCATCAGCTTGTCGATCACACCCGTTGTCGTAGTATTGGACAGTGGTAGAAGCTCTGGCCAGCGGGAACCATAATCAATAGCAGACAGGAACGTGGCTCCCTCAATGGTAACAAGGTCAATGGCCAGTTTCTGCCAGACACCTTCTATCTCTGTAGGGAGGAGCTGTTGCGCTGGATTGGAGCGTTTACGCCAGCATTCAGAGCATTTCTCTGCAAACAGATGGGCATCCTTCATGAGACCTGGCCACCAAACCCGTTCGCGAAGGGTATCCCGAAATGCATCGATGCCTGGATGACCTTCATGTGCTAGTCGCAACACCGCTGGGCGGAGCTCTTCTGGAATGACGTAGCGATTGTCTAGCATGACAATCCCTTCAATAACTGTCAGCTGATGGCGTAGCAGGAAGTAAGGCTCTTCCGTTTGGATGCACCCTGACCAAACTGATGTGCCCACTCTTTGTCGGACGCTGCTCAGTGTCGGATCAGAGTCCGTGGCCTGGCGAATATCCTTGGAACGAACCGGACAAGCCTCGAGAATGAGACTAACGAATTCCGCCATTGAACGTGCCTCTGCAGGTGAAGCTGTGCGATCAGGTAGAGGAGCTCGAGAGAGGGTGTCAGCACAAACCATCTGCTGGCCAGGGACGAACACCAAGCTGTAGCGATAGGGCATCAATGCGACCAGCCATCTCTGAAGCCTCGGTGGCACTTCGTCGAACGGCTTCTGGACGATAGAAATAAGCGGCTTGTGATCCGTAAACACTTGCACTTCTCGGCCTAGTACATACTGCCGAAAGCGAGTCAGGCCGAATACCACTCCCAGCATCTCTCGTTCCAGCTGAGAATAGCGTGACTCAACATCTGATAGAGAGCGACTGGCACATGTCACTGGTACCCAACAGCCGCTGGTATTCTTCTGCCACAGGACTGCTCCCAAACCGTCTGGCGATGCATCACAGCTGATAGCAGTAGGGACGTCCAATGCTGGTTGAAAGAATGCCAACGCTTGCAAAGCTGACGCTACACCAGCCTTTGCTGAGGTGAATGCCTGCAGGACTTCATCATCCACACTGAAGGGATCACGCTTTGCTAGCCTGCGCAGAGAAGCCGTGATCTGGGCCAAGTTCGGAATGAACTTTCCAAGGTACGTAGCCATCCCCAGGAACCGTCGCACATCAGAGATAGATTTCGGAGGGGCCAGCTCCTGGATGGCTTGTAACTTGTCATCATCTGGGGACAAGCCGGTCGCACTTAGCCAATGTCCCAGATACTTCACACGGTCCTGGTTCAGTCGGCACTTGGTCCAGTTGAGTTGGAGGTTAGCTGCTCGCAGTCGCTGCTTGACTGCTTCTAGCCGTGCATCGTGTTCTGCTTGATTGGAGCCAAACACTAGGATGTCGTCGATGTAGACGATGACTCCTGGCAGGCCTTCCAGAATGTCGGACACCACTCGCTGGAAAATCTCAGGCGCAAATGCAATGCCGAAAGGTAAACGCTTGAAACGGAACAGGCCACAGTGCGATGAGAAAGTCGTTAGAGGCCTTGCTTCTTCTGACAAGAGTAGCTGATGGAATCCAGATTCCGCATCCAGAACTGAGAAGACCCCTGCGCCATCAAGCTGAGCTGTGATCTCGTCAACGGTTGGAAGAACGTTGCGCTCACGTGTAACTCTCTTATTCAGTTCTCTGTAGTCCACGCATAGTCGCAATGCTCCATTCAGTTTGCGGACTGGAACAAGTGGTGACACCCACGGCGTGGCTTCCTTGACGGGTTCAATGATATCCAACTTGGTCAGCCGTTTCAGCTCGGTCTCGATGTCAGCCCGGATACTGAAAGCTGGGCGTCGTGGTGGCTGGGCTAGAGGCTTTGAACCGTCTTCCAGAGAGATTTCGATGGGTGACACGTTCACCACGTTTGCTTGTGACAGGAGGTTCAGCTCCTTGATGACATCCTGTCCGAAGAGAACGGAGTGCTGACTGGCTGCTACCACGAAACAACTGCACTTCACGTTCTTGCCACCATGTGAAATGTGGACGTCAGCCATGCCCAAAGTCTCTACGACACCGCCATTGTACGCTTCAGCAAGCGGTCACTCTTGCGCGTGGGCTTGATCACATCATCAGTGAGGATCGTCCGAGTTGCACCTGTGTCTAACAGTCCAGTGCACAGCTCACCATTGACTTTGAGTGTAGTCTGGAATGTCTTGTCGCCTGCGAGTGCCGAGCTACTGACGGCGAAAGCGGAGTCGTACATGCGACTTGCATGCTCATACTCATCAGGCTCATCCTCTACTGGCCGGGCTCTTTCTTCGTGTCTTTCCACTTTGTTTGACATGCAGACCGCTGCAAAATGCCCTCGCTTGCCACACTTGTTGCAAGTGACGTTGGCCGCAGGACAGTTACGCATGCCTGGTTTGTGACTACGTCCGCAGTATTTGCACTTCTTTCCCTCTGATCCAGAACCAGCTGCAGAGACAGCTTGCACACGCTGGATGGGCACGGGGAACACAGGCGGTGTGTCACTAGCTCTGGTACTATCGTACAGTTTACTGTCAGTAATCGACGCTTCCAACGCCACTGACTTGGTGCCGGCGTCGTTCAGGGTCAGCTTCGACTGTTTCAGCAGCTCCTTTCGAAGCTCAACAGAACGCAGGCCCACGATCAGCTGGTCTCGAATTTGGCAGTTGACAATGGTATCCACAGAAGTGGAGCTGAATTCGCAAACATCTGCCTTTTCTCTCAGCCGCCCAACGAACGAAGTCACCGACTCGCCCTCCATTTGGCGGAGTTGGCGGAATTTGTGACGTTCAGACGTGACATTTGTTGACGGTCGAAAGTGTGCCAACAATGCGTCCGTCAAGGCTTGGTACTCATCTCCAGGTGAGCCATCTTGTGTCTGCTCCACCGTGACAACCAGACCTTTCACAATGCGCCTCACTGCTAATCCAGCCAGATTCAAGAACAAGCGTTTCTTGTCAGCTGCTGCCGTCACTTCACTGATTGAAAGGAAATCATTTATGTCCTCGAGCCAGAGTTCAAAATCAGCACCGACGTTGCTCGCAGCATAGTCAGGAATAAATTCCTTGGGCGTCCTGCCCTTTGTCATTTTCGTTCACTGCGCCAATGTAGACATCTATTCAGTCACTCACAAGACAGCCATTGTGCTAAACAGATCTTGTTTAGTTCTCTATCAGAAGTGCGCCATGTCATTTCTCTCGTGCTATACATAAAGCGGTACAAGCACGTGCATGCCTGCACGTGCGTACATAGTACTACATACAACTGCATGTACGATATCTACAGATAGCATGCAATGTGCTAAACAAATCCGGTAATTCACGAGTGGACCACTCACGTAACGAACGGCACTAGTCACAGAATGGACTCGCATGGAGAGCCAAGGATTAATTTATAGAAAAGAAAAAGGATCA